ATGATTGAATGAAATTTTTGGGTCCCTATATTGTATCGCAAATTTAATTTTTCTTTTGCATCTAAATAGTGTTTCTCAGGTGAAAATTTGACATCAATAATAATCATAAGATGTGCGACTCTTTTTAAATAGAATAGAAATTCATAAAGATACTATTATTTAAATAAAAAAAAATACTTTGCAACAAAAAAAAACATTGATAAAATAATTTTGAAACAATTTTTAAAAGAACACGAAAATAAATAAAAACGTTTGTTATCATTGTTTATAAATAGACAACGTTTACTTATTGATTTTAAACACCTATTAATAATTAAAAAGTATTAATATTAATTTAAAATAAGTAAAAAAGGGTATACAAAAATCGGTACTTATAATGATTTATAGAGAAAAATTTTGTTTTAAATTTCAAAAAAAAAAAAAAAAATAGTAATTATGGAGGGCCCACGACCGGACCGGTCCTAAAAGTTGTTAAAAGAATAGTAGTTTGAAATAGAAAATTTTCACAAAAATCGAAAGATACACTCACTTTCAAAAACACGATTTAAAATTTTAAACTTAAAAATCTTAATCAAAAACACTTTGAATATTTCTTTTGTATTTTTATCTGTAAAGGCCATCTAAAAACAAATATTTTTATAAAAAAAAGCTTTAATTTGGACCATTATTAAGAAAGTTATGATCAAAAAACCAAAAAAAGAGCGTTTTTTTGAAAATTTTATATCTTTTGAACAAGTAATCAAAAAAATCTGAAAATTTACCAGAAAGGCTTTTTTGAGGGGTACTAAAAAATATAAAAAAATTAAGGAAATCTAAAATTTAAATTTTTCGAACCGTCCGATTTGGCGTGGAACGCCCCATATATTTACCTATAATCCTCGCACAAAGAGACAGTTTTTTATATAATTTCCAGTGTAAAATTGGTTTTTATAATAATAGTACCATACCAAGTGCGGCAAACACTCAGTCACTAATATACATAAACAGACATAAACAATACGACGTGGTTAAAGTCGCCTTATTGTTTGTATCTATGACTGTACCTATCTTATGCTAAATTTTAAAAAGAAAAATGGATTCGAGCGGATTCTGAAGCGGAGATATCAGAAATAATGAAAGAAGCAACAGAAAATTTAGCCAGAAAAGTTTAGGCAAGGTATGAAAAGAAAACAACAAGTTTATATAAAAGCAAAGTTTTAGTTATAGTTAGTATATGAGTTTAGTAAAACAGCTTTTCTTACGAGATTTGTTTATACTATTTTTTCGTATTTTGTGTTAGTAGGTAAGCAAATAGTGATAGATATAAAAGCATTACAAAGTTAGGAATTTTAAAAATTTCGTAGTTGGTACTTGTGTACGATTTCCGTAACCTAGTCACCTGATACGGCTTTGTTTCTTTATACAGGGTGTATCTAAATAAAACCGAAAAAATGTAAGGGGCAATTCTCTGATGAAAATTAATAGGGGTCTTTGTGTATAACAATTTTTGAAAAAACTCTCCCTGAAAAGTTAGTCCCTCCAAAAATTTCAAAAAAAAAATGTTTTTCTCTTTTACCTTCCATTTATGTCAAGCTAAAGAAACCAAACTTGATGAATATTACCTGTCGAAACTACACTTTTGTAATTTTTTCAACCCTGAAGTATTTTTATAAAGGGTTGAAATAATCAACACCTATGACATTTTTTCTTATAATTTTTTTTTTAAATGCATTGCAATACATTTATTTTTCTCATAAATCCTTTCAAAAAAACTTGAAGAGATCAAAAAGTTTGTAAACGAATATAAATTTAACAATTAAAAACCTGTGACAGTTGTCATGTTGATTGTTACTTACCTATCACCGCCAACCTAAAATGTGCGAAACAAATGGAAACATCATTTTAAGAAAAGGTAAATGTTTATTCGTAAATAATATAAAAACCACTGGGTTTAGGTATAGGAAAACTTTAACAAAGTTACACTTAATTTTAATGCAGAATGTGAATACGTTAAAAAAATTAGGGGTTTCCATTTAAAAATTTCGAGTTTTCCACATTTTCTGAACTTCATATTCGATAAAAAAAAATTGACCACCCTGTATAAAAACTGGAAAATGTTCATGACAAATTCGATAAACTAGGTCTTCTTCTACAAAATGTCCAATTTGCACAAAAAAAAACCTATGTTTCTAGGAAAACTAAATTTTGCCGACAGTCTTCATCTGTCAATTTTTGCCTAAAAATCAAAATATCTCTGAAATGGTCAATCCTAAGTATGGAGTGTGCTATATGTTTTCAACTTAAAAATAGAATGCTTTTTCCAAAAATGCAATAATATACAAGGGGTTCCATTTTAAATAAGAAAGTTAGTCTCGACTTCCGATATAACCGGAAGTACAATGACCTTGAAAATATTTTAGCTTGGTAGTTCGATGGAGTTCGTGGTGGGACACCCTATACAGGGTGGTCCAGATTTTAATAGACAAACTTCGGGAAACTACTAAACAACAAAAATTAACATCACTTTGCTCTATGAACATAGGCGCAGAAAGCCATCATTTATGAGATACAGGGCGTTGAAATTATCAAAAATAAAATAATTTTTTTTAATATCTGGAAAACCTCTTCATCAAATTTATCCAAATTTTGTACACATTTTTTTTTGAATATTTTTTCTAGTTCTGTACGCACACAGTCCAAATTAAAAAACCAGTGGCGGAGAAACAAGGACGTTGTTTCCTTATTTAGAGTAAAACTTCTACGCCACTGAATTAATTGGTAATATGAATACATTTTATAACGATCTGAAACATTCCGGATGAAAAAGCACACTTTTATTTTTGCCGAAAAGTGAATGGTTTACGAGTTATGAGACATATTATGATGCGTTTGTCCAGATATTTAAAAAATATATTTTATTTTTGTTAATTTCAATAACTCGTAAACCATTCACTTTTCGATAAAAATAAGAGAAAATTTTTTCATCCGGAATGTTTCTGACCATTATAAAATGTATTAATGTTACCAATTAATTCAATAGCGTAGAAGTTGTACTTTAAATAAGAAAACAGCATCCTTGTTTCTCCGCCACTGGACTATGTGCATACAAAAATTGGGGAAATATTTGAAAAAAAATGTGTACCAAATTTGGATAAATTTGATAAAACCGTTTTGCAGATATTTAAAAAAATTGTTTTATTTTTGTTAATTTCAACGGTGGCTTTCTGCGCCTATGTTCATAGAGCAAGGTGATGTTAATTTTTGTTGTTTAGTAGTTTCCCGAAGTTTGTCTATTAAAATTTGGACCACCCTGTGTAATAAAGTGACGTTTCATGTGGTAAAGTGCTACTTTGGTAAACGATTTTGAATTTGGTAAAATAACATATTATCAGTCAAAATCTCAGTCAAAAAAAAACTAATATTAGTCCAATTAAATAAGCCTTTAAATCGAAATTTTGGTCAACTTGCCTGAATTTTTTATATGAGTTAGTTTGAGGTATGTTATAACAATAAGTGACAGTAATTTTTTGTTCAACCCCGGCCAAGGGTGAAAAAAGATAAAAAAAGGGTTTTTTTAAGATAACACAAAACGGGTAAGGGCTAGAAAAAAAGTTTCGTGGCAAAAATTGTAAAGCATACAATTCTGCATTAAGATGGCCTCTTGACTTTTTCTTGTATTATTAAAATTAACAGAGTTAGGGAGGCTAGAAGTTAAGGGAAGATTTCAGAAATTTAAACAAATCATAAGCAGAAAAATGAATGAATTTTGTAATTTTTTTTTCGATCTACTCTAATAAATGTAACCTTTCTTTTCAGAGAAATAGATATATTTTTTAATTTATAATAAGAAAGTTATAACAATTTCAAATTTGTTGTTCACCCCCCTAAACAGAGATTTTAACGAAAACCTCGAAACAGTCCAATTTAATTTTGTCAATTTGTTTACATAAATCAAATTTTTAATTCCTTTTGAGTAAATATTTTTTTTTATAAATAAAAAATATAGTTTTTCTGAAATAAAAAATAAGGGTAGCAACCCCCAAACACGGAATCACTTGCGAAATATTTGTTTTTTATCATAAGTAATTTCCATTTTGTTTCATTTCAAAATATTGATTTGAAGCCCAGAAATTTTAAATAAACTGTTTTGGAGGGCAAACTTTGAGAGTGTATTTCACCCCGTAAATATGTTTTTCCGCCTATAAAAAAAAGTGTCTACATTTTTTAGAGTAGATTGAAAAAAAAATTACAAAATTCATTCCTTTTTCTGCTTCTTATGATTTTTTTAAATTTCTGAAATCTTCCCTTAAATTCTAACCTCCCTAACTCTGTTAATTTTAATAGTACGAGAAAAAGTCAAGATGTCATTTTTATGTATAATTGTATGCTTTACAACTTTTATAAGAAACTTTTTTTCTAGCCCTTGCCCCTTTTGTGTTATCTTGAAAAACTCCTTTGTTTTATCTTTTTTCACCCTTGGCCGGAGGTTGAACAAAAAATTACTGTCACTTATTGTTATAATATACCTCAAACTAACTCATATCAAAAAATCAGGCAAGTTGACCAAAATTTCGATTTAAAGGCTTATTTAATTGGACTATATACATATATTTGCCTTTCTATCTGAATCATCGATAAAGGTATTGTTGTTGACATTGCCAACACTGAACGTACGCTAGAAAACTATTTAGAGTAACTACATTTATTACTTTAGTTATTATCTATAACATCGAACTTCGCGTAATAAAAGTTACGTTGCTCGGATCCGTTACTGGATGGATTCTGCTTCTCCGTGCTAACCAGACACGCCGTTCTACATTTCGGTAAGTGAGCCATGAGCAGAGCTACATCGATCTCTCTTCCTTATAAATACTACTGATCTTCAGCGCGGCCTTCAGATACGCTCCGAGGTTCAAGGCACCCGCTCGCATCCCAAAAAGTGTGTTAAGTGTCCATTGTAAGAGTGCACGCCACCTTGGACTTCCCGAACTGTGATAAGTGAAATGATGCCGGTTGCGAAGATGGGTTCCGGACTGTTCGCTTTCGTTCTGTTGTCAGTTGTTTTGACCGTTAGTTGTAGGAGTTTGGAGGGCGCCGAGAACGCGACGACGTCCTTGATGGACGTCGCCGAAGGACTGTTCAGGACGGGGCGAGCGCGGTCCAATTTAGTTTACGCCAATTTTGTATCTTGCGCGATCCGATACGACGCTTCCTGTCTCGTGGACGCTGCTGGGGAGTACTTTGAGGGGCGAAAAAACGAGCTTTTGGGTAAGTCTAAGGGTATATGGATTTCCAGGAATGCCAGGTTTCTACAGGGTGTTCGTTGGTCAAAATTAACTCAAAAACTTCAAAAAATTAAATACATTTGAGCACGCCACTGCCTTTTTATAAGCTTGATATTATTTTTAGATTGAGTAATTAAAAATACTTCTTTTTTTATAATTTCATTTCATTAATTTCATAAATTAATTTTTAGAGGCAAAAAAGATTGTATTCTTAATTACTCGAATAAAAATTATCTATTTATTTATTTATTTATTTAGAAATTACAATACCCAGAGACAAAGTCTCAATTACACGATAAGATAAAACAAAAACCTTAACTGCGTTTAAAAAGAACAAATAGACAAACTAACATTAAATATAAAAATACAGGGTGTTGCACCTAGGAGGGATTCTTCTGTAACTCTGCAACTGCAAAATTTATAAAAATATCGTTTTAATGAAAGTTGTCTGGTATCATGTGGGCCAAGTAAAGAAAATATTTTTAGCTTTGCGCGCGTGGGTGCTACACAACTTTGTTATTTTAAGTGGAACACCCTGTATATTATTACGTTTTTGAATTCTTTGGTTAATATTAGGTAGAGTTTATTAAATATACGTGGTGTTTAAAACTTACCATTTCCGAGATAATCAGTTTTTGAAAAAAATCGCAATTTCAGCTCTTTAAATGAAGCTAGGTAGCGTCTAAACCATAAGAGTTAGAAACCTGCAGTTTTCACAGTTCGCTTTGGCATAAATTACTCTATTTTGTCATCTGTGAGCAAAATGTGTACGTTATTCAGACTAGGAAATACTGACACCTACATTTAATAATCTTATGAGTTGAAAAACTCTGTTTTTCAAATGGAATGAACCATATTAATTGTTATGGGTGAATGCAAAATTGAATGCCCTTTCGACTGATATAAGGTTGTCCATACCAATTTTCCAGAAAAATCAGGTTCTTTTCTAAAGTCCGAAAAAGTAGCTATGGAACAGTGTCAAGAAGGCCTTGCAAACCCACTTTTCTCTCACGTTTTATGAGGCCTGAGACTGACAGTGTCAATATTTACTGGCATGTTTAAAAAGTGGTTTGACAAACAAAAGTAAACCACTAACAACAACTAAAACAAAACGCAAAACGAAACAAACTGAAACTCGGAACACAACAAGGAGAAGAATATCTAAAGCGCGGATTTACATCAACTGCTCGAAGTGTCAATTTTGATTAATACCAATTCAAAAACGCAATAATATATAGGGCGTTCCATTTAAAATAACAAATTTATGTAGCGCCCACTCGAAATGGAACATCCTGTAAAGCTAAAAATATTTTCTTTATATGGCCCATATGATTCCAGACAACTTTTATTAAAACCATTTTTCTTAATTTTAGAGTTACAGGGTTACATAAGAATCGCTCTTAGGTGGAAGACCCTGTATAAGTAGGTACTACACAAAATATAAAATCCAGACAAAATAACTTAAGTATAAACAATAACAGAGAAATAAAACAAATAAGCTAAGACATTATACAAGATACCTAGGATTACATTTGTTAGAGATTTTTTTTATGTTATTCATAGGATGAAAAAATATATCAAGCCGATCTTTATACTTTTGATAATTATTGCAAATCATTTGATATAGAGCAGATACTATTAGTAAATTTGTACGAGGTGTTGGTAACTGTAAATCATAGTGAAATCCAGATTTAAGTTTAGGAACATGACATAATTGATATAAAATCCTTGAAACTGACGAGTCTGCATTTAAAGTATTATTTATAATTTTAAAAAGTGTCACCCTCCGAAGAGATAAGACAAAAAAAACAGAAAGGAAAATAAAATAACGGAACAAATCTATTAAATTCTAACCATCTATGGAAGGTAACAAGGTATTCGCCGCTAGTACTCAGCGGAGAAGGGGAGGTTCACTATATAGAGATTGTTTTGGGCGCCAGGTAAATTTACCTCAACGAATACCGACGTTGATTAACCCCCAAATCTACCAAACGGGGTTAATAAAAAATAATACGGGATAAATGCAAATGTTTATTGAAGACGTCAACTCCCATAAGAAAAATACGGGTTGACCAAAGCAGTAATTAAAATGACAAAAAAAAATGAGCTGTATAAGTTGATAGCAAGATAAACACAAGTAGTGAGCGCCTGCACTATACGCTAATCGTAAACAATTTAATACCAAGATAACAGTGAGGCAGAAATTAAAATATATATATTAGTTAAATTATTTGTTAGACTTTAAATACGCGATCGCGACGCTTGAGCTCAGGCGCTACGCAGATGTGGCAGTTTGTTGCCGAACGCCAGAAAGAATTTGCTTTAATTTCCGCTAACAATATTTAAAATAAATATATGGCGCAAGCGCAGCGCAAAGAAAAATAAAGAAAGATTCGTTATGGCTATTACTAGAAGAAATTAACAGCTAACTGCGGTTAACAAGTTTATATGCAGGCATGACAACCAAATTCAGGACTTGAGGCAAAATTTAAGTGTTAAACAAAATTACGACTAACATATTTATAAATAACAATTAAGCCTAACCTAATAAATGCATCGGCAACTACCTAATATTTTTTTTTTCCTAACTTACGACGAAACTATTTAGTCTATATGAAGTAGATAATAATAATAAAAAAAAGGGACTATAGATCTTGAACTAGTATTTAAATCCACGATTATTTATCACCTACAGTTATAAAAGTCCCGAAATTTACTATGGACTAAACTGAGTATGATTACTTAAATTAATATATGTACACAATTGTAAGATCAATAAAAGTTATTGGTAGGAATTAAATAAAAAAAAACTTGCGGTACTCTATCTCCGCTATGCTTCTTCTTGAAATAGGGACAGTTGGTATACTAACTTCGGTCCGGAGGCCGGCCGGTATACTCGCGGGTGCTGAGCAGCCGCTGACACCGCTTGTTGTGTCGTGGATCAAAACCAAAACCCTAATACGACATTAATATTAGGAAAGAAACTAAATAACCCTAGCTTGGTATAACTAAATCTATAATAAAAATACACATACCCTTTCCCAGGGGTTTTGTTCCTTTCTAGTGGATCCTTAACGACTTCCACTCAACAGTTAAACAATTATTCCTCTGTACCAGGCGAATATGACTCTTATGGTAACGAAGAATACGGAAATAGGTCCACAAACTGATAATATAACTATAAAAATACAAAAATACTACACTTAGACGATTGAAACGAGTAAAAAAAAAGAGAATAGTAACATACCTTTCGGTCAACTTGCTTGATTGCGTAAGGAAAAGGACAGTTCAAAAGTGATATCGCCGCCGCGTGCTCTATGAATCCCAATTATGGATAAATATTCAGAAACCATCACAACTAGCCACTATTAGCACCAACTTTTCTGAATATATTGTGGAAAACTTGATTAAGGTTGATTACAATAATCTATGAAAATTTCGAGTTTCCTCGAGCGCGACTCACGACAAAATTGCTCGCTCCTTATCACCTCGTTTCGCTTTTTTGCTACCCGCTTATCTTAAACTATTCTAACGTCTATACCAAATTTAAATAAGAAATATATACTAGGCGTATTCTTGGAAATTGCCGAGAAACCGAAATTTAACGTAACAAAAGGAACATGATTGAAAATAAAAATCGCTTACGACAGACTATTAAAAATCTCCGTTATACTTTCTCTATTGAATATTATAAACATTATAAATGGACTCCAAACAACCGATTGCATATTCTAGTTTGCAACGCACAAATGCTGCATACAATATCTTTAGAACCTTTACGTTCTGAAAGTCCTTATAATTACGCAAAATAAAGGCTAAATTTTTATAAGCGGATTTGGTTACTAAACGATAATCTAGCTAGTACAAATGTAACACCAAGATCAGTAAATTGCGTAACTCTATTTAGAAAAGGTTCACCAATTTTATAATCAAAATCTAGATTAGTTTTGCATCGACTGTAAGACATAATTTTGCATATCAAGCCAATAAAAAAGCAGTGGCGTATTAAAATTTTTCTTTAAAATATCTAGTTATGACGACGCCCCTGGAATAATTAATTTAAATCTACTCGTAATTACATTAAATTGAACCCGTTACTTATTACTAAAAATATGTCAAGTTTTATCAAAATTGGACAAGTGTTTTTTTACATATTTAAAAAAATATATATTTTTTAAATTTAACCTCGAAAACTAAGCTTTAACGTATAAGTTCTTATGAACATTCCTTTTTTGCGAATTGTCTTAAAACCTGTATATCGCGCATTACAAAAAGTTGTTGCCATTTCAATCAGTTTTTCTTTTTAAATTTAGACTCAAAAATAATAATTAAAAACTGAAAGTGAATATCAACTCAGAAGAAGAAACCAAATTGATTTTTGAAACGTCAGAATTTTTTGGAGGTGTGTTTTGTATTTGTCTCCTTTTTTAGTGTAAAATTTTTGGATAGAACAAATAATTTTCATAAAAATAACCCTTGACTTTTCATTTAGGCGCGAGGCTTTATTTTTCATTAGGAAAATTTGATTGTTCTAAATTTATTGTAGATATTCGCGGTATATTAAGATACAAATGGATATATTACAACATGTCTTATATGAAAATATATTATTCGTATTTAGGTAGGTACATATTACAATTTAGAAAAATCGAAAAATAGTACAAACTAAAATGTATTTTAGTATTTCTTTAGAATATTCTTATAAATTATCTTCTTGTAGAATAAAAGTTGTACTATCGAATCAATAACACTGTCAAGCTCTCACATTGTTGCCATTTTTTCGTGGATGTAACGCCTATGGACTATTTAAAAATGATTAATTTATTACCCCATACCGTTTCAAAACGAACTTATAGCTGTAGGTAATCATTTTGGATCGATAGAAGTTACATGAATGTCAGGTACGATACCATTAATCAATGTATTACTGCAATTTAAAGATCTGCTCCACCAAAACACTTTCTTTTGAAATATAAATGATGT